CCCCGAAGCCGCCGAAGCCGGTCCCAGCTCAAGCGCTCCGGCGCTCGCCACCACTCAGCAGGCCGCGAGCCAGCCCACGCGTCGCCCACGTCGCTCACAGACGCTCGCATCGCCCGAAATGGTCGGCACCGCATTCGACGCACACCTGCTGCCCGACGTCTCGTCGCTCGAACCACTCGATGCGCGCCCCATCCCCATCGCCCGCTCCAGGCCCAACCAGCTTCGGCCCGCGTCTCCCGTCAAGCTTCCTGCCAAGTCCCTCGCAGCCGCGTCGGCCGAGTCTGATCCTGCCGTCGATTCCACCGCGGCCGTCGCAGCGTCGAGCGCCTCCAATTTGCAGCGCCACTCGTCCGTGCCCGAGACCGATTGGGCGGGCCACGCGTGGCCGGGCAAGCTCTCCATGACGCGCAGACGCAGCCTCAACCACGTCGCGCACAGCTCGTCCGACTACGAGGAGGATGGCGACGGCGCAGACAGCCTGCTCGCAGACGACGACGAGCTCGACGCGCGCGACGCTTTCGACTTTACCAGCTCCGACGACGAGCCCAAGTCGGACTACCCGCACGCCGCTGCCGACGACGATGAGCTCCAGATGAGCGGCTCCGAATGGGAGGCGGGCATGGCATCGGTGCAGCCCGCGCGCAGTACTTCCGCCTCTTCGGCGCACGAACCGCCAGCAGTGGTCCAGCTGCAGCCGTACCACAACCAGGTGGGCGGGCACAACTCCATCTTCCAGTTCTCCAAGCGCGCCGTGTGCAAGCCGCTGGTGGGCCGCGAGAACGAGTTCTACGAGGCCGTCGAGCGCGAACACCCCATCCTGCTCGCCTTCATCCCGCAGTACCTCGGCGTGCTCAACGTCACCTACCGACACGTCGACGAGCAGCAGCACGCGCAAGACGTCCAGCAACCTACACCTGACCAAGCTGTCGGTGCGTCCGATCCGGCACCGCTGCCGGGCTCGACTGCGCCCGCGGTGGCTACGGATGCAGCGGCGCGCACCGAGATCGTCGATGCAAAAGCCGAGCTGCAAGAGCGCATGCGGAGCGACTCGCGCGGCGCACGCACCCG